TCTATGATGGCCACATGATAGAAAACTTAGAAGGTATGGGGGAAGACTGTATTATTTTAAAACTGTGTTTAAAAATGACATGATTTAAAGTGCAATAGAAGTTCTAGGAATATAAGAGTGCCAGGCAATGGGATCATAGAAATTCCATTGTAGGTTTTTCAGGTAGAGCACATTTTTGATGGCTTCCCCTCAGAGTCCTTAGAAATGCCCCAGAAGAGGGAGTTGTACCCTTGCAAGTTGCTCTCCCTCAGTAGTCCTGTCTTTACAGATGGGGAATGATCTGATTCACCGTCCTGTGGATTCGTGGGAAGTTTCTGAGTCAGATTGAGTACACAAAGAACTGTCAGAATTCAGCCACTCTGCCAGAGTTGGTCTCTGTTTCTAGCATATGACTGGTTCATTGGCGGTATATGGCCATCCTCCCTCTTCAGAGACTCCATTCCACTGTCTTCCAAGCACCTCTTTCACTAGTGAAGATCACCCAGGGAGGTCTGCTTTCTTCCTTATTTTTCTCTTGCCACTGGGACATTCTATCCCAGTAGGACTTGGATGCAAATGACAATACCACACAGGCCATTGCTTCCATCCATTAGCAGGCACTACTGCTCTGGTCCTGCATTTTTCTCATTTAAGTGACTGTCAGTTACTGGTGGTGCTGGCTCTCACATGATGGAACTAGAAAATACGCAATGGTAGTGATTCTCAATCATGCTGACCATGCTATTCAACTTTTCTTCAATATTTAATATCTTTGTGTGTGTGTGTGTGTGTGTGTGTGTGTGCACGCACACATATTGGGACTTGAACTCATGACCTGGGCACTATTCCTTTGCTATTTTTGCTCAGGGCTAGGTCTCTACTACTGTAGTCACAGTTTCATTTCTGTGGTCTGGCCACAGAAGCTGTGTGAAACTGTTTGAGAGGTTCACAAAAGGTCAAGAAAAATATTACAAGTGTGACTTTGAATACATTCCATCCAGTGTTATTCATTTTAATTTTATAATTTTCCTTTGGGTTCTGTATTTTATAATTTTTCTATCCACTGGGATTATGAACCTTGTCCTTTTTACAAAGTGCAATAGCCCCTAAAAGAATGATAGAGCATCTACTACTCATATCCATTCATTTTCCTCATGGTGTTGCCACCTAATCAGATGGACCAATTGATCAGGATTCTAGTATGGGTTTCTTGATACTGGCAGCACTGTGGATCATTAAAACAAATAATCTTTATTCCCCCAGATGCTTCAGGTTCTGAGTCAGGTTCTTCGAATAGGAATGTCCCATTACATGGGAAATGGTTGGAAATAAAGAGGCAAGTCCCACCTGAAACTCACTGAGTTAGGATCTACATTCTAGGTAAATTACTAGGTAACTAACACACACAGTAAAAGTGTGAGAAATATTGCTTCAGGGAGTTTCTTGAAAAAGTATGCAGGGACCTTTGAAACTACATGGTAACTAATATATTCACTAGCTTCTTGAAGGTACTCTCTAGCCCACATATACCTCCTCCACCAGTATAAACATACCAGCCCACTGTGTAGACTAGACTTCAAGTAGTTCACATCATTGTCTGAGAGTGTTTGAAAGAGGGTGTTAGACCACAGGTAACTGTTGCTCAGTGTTTGAAGAACTTTAATTCTCAAGCATTTGTAGTTCTCCTCCTAATACAGCTCTTCATGGATGGATTTTCCCAAGGGATGCTTTGTGATCGGAGATCTTTCTCCCAACTTATTTTTTCTCCACCACTGCATCCCAATTGCTGAAATAGGAATGCTTGAGTTTTAACTGTTGAGACGCATTTAACGGTACCTGGCACACCATCTTTTACTGGCCCAGTTCCTTTTCCAAATAAGAAATAGAGCAAAGACTCCAAGATCCTCACCACGCTTTAGTCCCTCTTCACTGGGGAAGATTTGGATCCAGAAGTTAAATTTAGAATTGTCTACCACAACCTTCTTCTGGAATTTTAGACAGTGTTAGTCTGGTATTTTCTATTCTATATTTACATCCAGATTGTATGCAGGTACATATAGAATTTAGCACTGCTCATTCCAAGAAGAAGCATGTATTCTGCAGTAGCATTGAAACCTCTAGCTGGTCAGCACTAAGTAGGCAAGTTCAAGGTAGCCTGATGGATACAGCTGATATCTACAACAGATCACTGGGGTTTAAATCTTACTTTGCCCCTTCTAGAAAATCCACTCAACTTCTTTAGGTCTTACCTGCAAAGGAATAATAATAATAACACTGAACCCATAGGGTTATTATTAGGACAAAACAAATTAACTTGCTTAAGACAGTGCCTAACAGTAAGTTGATAATATTATCCATTACTGATAAATCTGAATTATAAAAAGTTATTTGGTTCAGTGGATTTTGAATGCAAGCCTAGGAATCAGGTCAAGAAGCTGGAAGAAAAAAGTTTGCTGCTTCTTGCTAACTCACAGCAAGGGAGAACCAGTAGCCAACCATACAGCAGAAGAGAGGCATAGAAGTGGTTGGAAGCAGACTGAAGTGGAAGACTCTTTCACAGACTGAACTTCAAGTATGTGAAGCAATAGAGTTTAACGAGATGCATTTCCTGTGGCTAGACTACTGAGCAACGTAGTAATTTTACCTTCTCAGAGCTCTGGAGATACCCTGCCATGTGAGGTAGATAATTGTCTTGGTTCCTGATTTACAGATTCTTCTTCTGAAGCTAACTGAGGCAGACTTATGGCTTGGTAGAATTAAGGCCCAGTTAACTAGAGCCTTGGCATCCAGACTCCAGTTCCAGTGTCTTTTCCTATAACTTATCAGCACACCTTAAAGCCCTTTATTAAGGTGCCCAAGAAGTCCAGAAAATAGCTTTACCTACTCTGAAAGTGCAAGAGGTGAGCTGCGCCGAAAAGAATGGTCAAAATACTTCCTGCCCAAGGCAGACGCTCTAACTATCTGCGTTGATGTCATACATAAAGTTTAGGTAAGGGGCTAGAAAGAGGAGGGGTGGGGGAAGCAAGTGGTAATGGTTTACAGTTGGTATGCTAGGTCCCCTCCAATGAGACATGCTAAGCTATGGTTTAGGTTGAAGAAGACCCAATAGTAGACAAGGAAGACAAATAGGTATATTCATGCCTCAGCTGCACCGCTGTTATTCATGACATCATTGTTAACTGTAATGCTAACTATGTGGGAGGCATGGTTCAAGGCCAGCCTATGCAAAAGGTTTATGAGAGCCCCCCTCCTCAGCTAGTATCTGGGTACACCAGTACGTACCCATTATTGTAGCTACATGAGATCCAGAGCATTGCAGTTTCATGCCATTCTAGTAAAAAAGTTTACAAGACTCATCTCAACAGAAAAGAGTCTGGGCATGACAGCACGTCTATCAACCGAGCAATGGCAAGAAATGTAAATAGGATTGCCTCCATTTGGGCTATCTTGGGCAAGGTTTTACCTAAAACATGTTGAGAATAGAAGGTACAGAGGCATGGCTGAAGTGGTAGAGTGCCTATGGATAGCGAGTCTGAGGTTATACCCCAGTACCACCAGAAAGGATCCCAACAAGGAATAGCCTAGACCAGATGGATTGATTGCCTGATTTTCAGGCTTTTCCTCTTATATTTCCTCATCTATTTCCTTTCCCTCATATATTCTGCAGAATGAAAAAGGAAGTTGTGTGTGTGTGTGTGTGTGTGCTGGTCCTGGGGTTTAGACCGCAAGGCTCAGTTGCTTTCCCTGAGCTTTTGTGAGGCTAGTGTTCTACCACTTGAGTCATGGCTCCAATTCTGTTTTTTTTTTTTTTTTGTGCTTAATTGGAGATAAGAATCTCATAGACTTTCCTGCTTGGGCTAGTTTTGAACCATGATAAGGAAGTCTTTTTTGAAGCAATTATTACCCTGATACTAAAACATGGTAAGGACAAAAGTATAGACATGTTTCTTGCTGAACATAGATACAAAAATTTTCAATAAAGTATTTATGAAATTCACTATGCATTAAAACAATGTGATCAGATTAGTTTCACTTCAGGGGTGCTAGGATTGTTTAACATATACAAATCACTACATCTTATACAGCACATAAACTTACAATTAAGGACCAAATACACATGCATGATTACCTCCATAAATGCAGAATAGCCTTTGACAAAATTCAGTGTCCCTTCATGATAAAAAGCCTAACTGGAAATAGAAGGACTACATGGCAATGTAATACACATTGCACTAAATGCAGAAAATGAAAAACATTTTCTCTAAAGTCAGAAAGAGACAAGGGTGTCTACTCTCCCCTTTCTTATTCAGTATTATATTGGAATTCCTAGCCAGGACAGTAAGAGAAGAGAAAGAAAAGTAATTCAAGCTGGGTAAGAAGCCATATTATTTCCTTTTTGGGGATACATATATAGAGCTTTTAGGGGAGAAGACAGAGGTCTATATTTGGCATCTTGATGAGACATCAACCTTCTTCATCATATACTACCATTTATATCCTGGATGTAGAGATATTAAACATCTCTGCAGATGTTTTTTTGTGTGTTGAAACCTTCCATAAATATAGAGACTCTTAGCTTCCTATTAAAACTGAGCTCTTTGGGCACTAGTTCATGGGGGGCTAAGTTAGTTAAAAACAATACTAGTTAGATATCTTGGGAATCTTAGCTGAGTTGCCATTGAATTCAGATGCGATGTTTAATTGTCTTCCTGCCTCTTGTTCTCTTCCTGTAGTTGCTGGGACTTCCAGATGCAGATGATGATGCATTTGAAGAATACAGTGCAGATGTGGAAGAGGAAGAGCCAGAGGCAGACCACCCCCAAATGGGTGTTAGTCAGCAATAACTCCTCAAGGGCACCTTCTGGAAAAGGATAGTGAGCCTCATGGTACCCTAAGTGAGTCACGTGCTCCGGGTGTAGCCTTCTGCATTAGCACTTGGAAACAGGACATCTAGTTCCCAGCTTTGTAATGATCACACAATCTCTGTAATGAGCTGTGTCATCACTTGGATTTAGGTTTGGCTTCAGAGAAGTGTCTATGGAATTGTCTTGGTAGGCTTTGCCACTTTCAATTTAGAGTCCATTCTGTGGCTGCCTGTTTCTCTCTTGAGTTTATGTTGGAGGATTAATATTCAGTGATTGGAATGAAGAGAACTCTGAACGTGTTAAGGATTTGTTTTGAGCTCTTACAAGTGACTTTGCTGAGGAAAAGCATGGCAAGGAGATACTCGACCTACGGTTTTTATATTCTTTTTAAATATTCGTCAGTGAAAGATTTTGCTTATAAAGCATGAGTTTTAATAACTAACTGTTAAACTGCTCAAGTGCAAATTCACATGCAAAAGCAGAAAGGATAATCGCTTCACTTTGGATTAAGATGGTAAGAGGCCAAGGAACCTTGGAAGAGCTTCTCCATTACCGAGCTACTTGGGTATGTAGCAGCTGGTTCCTGGTTAGGTGTAAATTGTTACTTGCATGGTCAGCTGGGTTTTTTAACCTGACAATTACAAAGCCACTTAAAAAAAAATCTAATAGTGTAGAACAAAAGGGATGACAGATATAATTTACTGATTTTTTTAAAAGCTGTTTATAAAATGTCTCACATATAAAATGACACATTTACCTTCATAATAAGATGGCAACTTAGGAAATCATGAAAACACCCAGAATCCAAGTAAGTGCTACTTAAACTTTGAAGCCATAGATAAATTTTTAAAAAGCAGAATAAAAAAAATGTAAAAATTATCATGAAATCCTTTACTTTCTTAATCTTTTATTCTTAAGTCAAGAAAAAGTTCCCTATGTCGTTTATTTAAATTATAACCAAGTACATTAATGTACCAGATGACAGTGAATACTTAAAAGTGCATGAAAGTAGGAAGCTTTATCATAGGGTAGATTGTTTAAAAGAGGGTATTGTAATGAAAAAGATATATGGACAACCCATTGCTGTAATCATTTAGTGAACAATCATTTAGACATCCTCTGTAATGCTAAGATAGGATGATTTGAAACATTTTTGTGAATCCTCTGCCTCTCTGGTTCTAGTAACTTAGGATGCAGAATTCTTCTTCTATAGCACTTGATTTCTCTGAGCTAAGTTGGGAAGGTTTAGGCCATAGACATTTTAAATTCAAAATGAAACAAAAAGCCAAAAGCTGTAGCAAAGGCCACTGAACCCATGGGAGTTGTGTATCTTCTAGGCATGTCAGTGGAAATCTGATTGTCTTAGCATTTTCTGTTTAATTCAATGATGCCCTGAAGTGTTGGCCAGCTTACGGTCAAAAAGTATACTGTAGTTTTAAGTCATGAAGTGGAATAACTGGGTGATTTCCATCTATGCTTTGGAACTCACACTTTGTTTCTGTTCCTGAGAAAACATACTAAAGGTTAAATTCAAATAATATGAATTTCCTTTGAGTAGCCTATTTAGCAAAACCGAACTTACACTTTTATCCATTTCAGTAAGGAGATCCTGCCCTTTGTATCCCTGCCTGTGTTCCTACTGGCTCTGCTTACTGGCAAGAGGCGGGGCTCTATATTCTGTAGCTCTCACCCAGAGTCAGTGATCTCTATTTTAACGTAATAGGCGGTCAAGAATGACCTCAGCAATCTTAATGAAGACTGCTGAGTAGCTTCCTTCACTCCAAGGCAAACTAGAATTTTTTTTTTTTTATTGTGAAAATACTGTACAGAGAGGTTACAGTTACATGAGCCAGGTAATGAGTGCATTTCTTATCAAGCATTGTTGCCGCCTCCTTTGTTTTTCCCCTCCCATCCCTTCCCTCCCACCTCCACAACTACCCTCCTCCCTACCCTCCCCCCCACCCAAAAACTAGAAATTTATATCTAGAGGCTTAGAATCTAAATTTACCTATGTTTGGAAATGGAATGAGCATTATTTATCAAGAAGGTATTTAGACTTTGACCAAATATACTGCAATATTTTCATGCTAATACTCTATCAAAATTTGGAGCCAGATTTAGCCATCAAGTGGGCTGGTGAGAATTCTGGCTTTTGTTCTGTTCCAGGAGGAGGGGAAGAAAATGGCACTGTCAATATTTTTCCATGTTAAAATCACAAAGGCATTCACAGATTGGATTGTTTCTTCTCAGACCTCTTTTTTCTCTCTCTGATGATTCTTTCCCTGCCAGCACTCTAATACACACACATGCACACATACTCACACTCACACATTGGGCATTCTTCTGGGGCTGTGTGGACAGGCAGGTAATGAAGTTAGAGAACCTTGAAAGGGTTCTAGAGTGAGACCAAGTTTGTGACCTTTCCTAGACCTACACTCACACATGCCAGGAGGCAATACAGTTATGGAAGGAGTTTTGCTTAGAGAGACACTAGGAGAGACACTCTTTTGGGGTTTGTTCATTTTGTTTTTATCAGTCCTGGGGCTTGAACTCAGGACGCTGGATGCTGTCCCTGAGCTTTTATGCTCAAGGCTTAGTGCTTTACCACTGTGAGCCACAGCACTACCATCCCGTTTGGGGATGGTTGTTGGAGATAAGAGTCTCACATACTTTTCCTGCCCGGGCTGGCTTCAAACTACTATTCTCAGATCTCAACTTCTTGAGTAGGGAGTATTACAGGCATGAGCCACGAGCTCCCAGCACAGGTTCTGTTCTTAACTATGGCATTGATTGTGTGATGTTGGGAAGCCAGCTAACTAGTTTCTGAAATAGGAATACTGGCCCTTCCAGTTTGTCTCCTGCCTGCCTTTAAAAATGTGTGTACATATGATTAACAATCAAGGAAACTTAAGAGACACAAAGAAGGAAAGACATTCTAATAGCGCCAAAGATTCTGCCCTTATAATGGCAGCTATTGAGGCTACCTTAGAACTTGTTGGCCTCTGAGTTTCCAATTCCCCAGAACCTTCTGATCTGATGTGGCTGGTAGAATTTTATTCCTTTAAGGAGTGGATAAAGAAGGGGGTAAAGATGTGTTTGTCTCGGCTGCACATGCTTTGACTTTGGAGGACAGAGCTTCTCTTTTGGCTCTAACACTCGTGGCTCTGGAGCTCTGAGATTAACTGAATAGTAGCTAGAAGAGAGTGAAAGATGAGTACTTTTTTTGCCACTATATTAGGAGAAAGTGTGAACGTACAGTAAGTAAGCAAATGAGTCTGAGTGTGAGTGTGTGTATGAGAGAGAAGGGGTCAGGGAGGGAGAGAAGCTAGAAGTTAGATGGGAGAAGAAGGGGAGGGAGAGAGAGAAATACACAGAAATAGAAATAGAAAAAAATAGAGACAGGATGAATAGGGAGACGGCTGGTTGCTTGTTGGTCAGATCTGAAATCTTACCTGTGATAATATTACAAAACCTTGATCCTGCATCTGAGTGAATCATGGAAACATTTTTCCGATGGCTGCTTGGATTCTTTCCCCTGCCTGATGATCACGTTGGGCAGACTTCAGGAAAATCAGAGTAAATCACAAAGCAAGGGAGGAGGATGAAGCCCTCAACAGTGCCTGGCACTACCAGGCATTTGGTTACACTGGAATGTCTATTTGTGTGTTCCAGGCCCACAGCAGCACATAGCACATTTTGTTTTTGCATGAACAAAGCACAAAAAAAAATCTGTTATATAGGAATGTTCTTCTTGCCTTCTGGTACCAGAATTAGGTTTTCAGCGTACATAAGTTAAATCTACTCTTCTAGTAGTGATCTCCATTATTGTTTCGGTACAGACAGAAACTATTCTCTAGCACAACAGACATCTCTACATATTGTTTCCATCGAAGAGCACAAAGTATAGTCCCGGGGGAGGTGTGATCCAAGAGTATCCCTGCAGCTCGTTTTAGGAACCGGTTTTGCCTGTTAAAATTTATGAATTGTGAAGTTGGAATGAACAAAATGGTTACAGTGGGAATGGCTATAGGCAATGGGAGAATTAGGTCTTAAAAGTCAGGTCTGATTTTGTCTGTGTTTTAGAAAAAATAAGTTACCAACCATAGAAGGCATAGAAAAACTTTTATTAACTGTATCTCACAGTCTGCTTCACTCAGACTGAGTGCGGAGGATTTGTTGGTGAAAGCCCGATGACTTAAAAATGTACCCCAGCTAGGGCCATAACAGGTGTTCTGTGTGTCTGTGGAATCACTTGGACGTCAGCTAGGGGAGCCTGGCCGGCACGCGGGCTTACAGATTCAAGAAGGGATGCGGTAACATGCCGGTGATGCAAACTTGGGTATCACCAGAGCTGCCTGATTTCATGTCCAGGAATGTTTTACCGCAGGCCTGGAGCAAGCCCACCCATGCGCCTACTCCACAATGCTTCAGAGCTATAGAAGAGCACAATGAAAACTCAAGGCAGAGGGCAGATGGTTTTATTCCCTAGAGTGACTATGGACTTTAAAGAAATGCCACTGTATTCAGAGAAGTCTGAAACTGCTTTTGCACAAATAGGCCTCTTTCATAAACAATCACTTATCTTGGCTTAATAACAGGTCTGATCTTTGCAATGGAAGTTTTTTTTAGGTTTTATACAGAAATAATTATAAACCTATCATGATGCCAGCAGCCTGTGGTGGCCATAGCCATGTGCTATGAACATTTCATATTAGAAACCTCACGGCATCCTAAAGCTGGATAATTATGAGCAGTTAAAAGTATGTGCGAGGCCACATAACAATTAATGTTGTTTGCTCAGAATCACTTTCATCTCGTTTGCTAACACAGAGAAAGCTGATGTTCTATGTGTAAATTGTCTTTCCACTTTTTCCCCCCCTTAAGATTCCTTACCAGGTACTTTACGGTAGCCTTATGACTTAAGTCATAAGACAGACAAACAGTGCTCTGTACAAATGTCAGCCTCTGCGGAGGAAGTAAATCTTCAGTGCTGGGAAGATCTGGAGTGGACTTTAGTCCTAATTTGTGGATGTGTACAAAATAGAGCCACCTCTGGAGCAAGGGAGAAGCAAAAGCAAGGCAATTTTGTTGTTTATTTTGTTTAGCAAAAAAAGTGTTTCTATATTTCCTTTCAAAAAAATCTCTTGTGGATTACAAAACTGTCAAGTGAGTTGCCAGAAACTGTCATCCTTTGCTAGATGCCTGGAATAGTGTAAATTCTCTCTTGTACCCTGTCACCACCTGCTCCTCTCCCATCCCTCAAGTATGAGGATCCAGTCTGATGATGTGATCATCACACATTTGTATTAAAGAGCCTTCCAGACTTTGGTGGTCATTGCCTCTTTCTTTACTCTCTCCACAGAGTTAGTCTTATAAACACCTAATTTGGTTTTACAGATGAGGAACAAGGACATGGAAGAGTTGGACTAAGGAGGAAGTTGGTAGAGGGGAGCTATGGCTCATGTTCTGTACTTTTCCACTCTTCCTTTGAATTGGTTTTGCATATCAGGATTTATTTTTTTTCTAACCTACTTATAAAGCCTTAGTGACACAATTGGAAATCTGTGGTCTTTTGCACTGTTTCCTCACAACTTTTCTCCCAGCTGTTGTTAAGCAATGGCATTAAATTTTTTTTTAAATCTGAAAGTTGGAAGTAAGTTTCGTTATTTCTTAAGGGCAAGTCTCATGCTTCAAATGAATGGATCTCCATAGATTGGTAACAGGCTCAGCTTAGAGACTCTCGTGTTGATCTAATAACTCACTCAATTTGGGATTCTTCGTCTTTGGTGTGGCTGATGTCAGAGGTGTTAATGAAATGTGTGCATCCCAAACTTCATTTGTTTAACACTGACTGCAGCAAGGTAGTATAGACAAAGCCTAGTTTATGGGACATTTGCTTAGTGACTGCAAGTTGATTGCTAACAGATACAATTTACAAAGTACTGACTGGTCCTTTTGCTGTTGCAGAAACTAGCATTCGAAATTCATCTCCTCTTTGCAGTTAATCCTTCTGAAATTAATTCATAGAGCTAAAAGGTCTGGCTAAAGGCTGAGAACCTGGCTTAGTGGTATAGTGCTTGCCTAGCTTGCATGAAGTCCTAGGTTCAATTTCTCAGTACCACATAAATAGAAAAAGCCGGAAGTGGTGCTGTGGCTCAAGTGGTAGAGTGCTAGCCTGGAGCAAAAGTTCAGGGACAGTGTCCTGGTCCTGAGTTCAAGCCCTAGGACTGGCAAAAAAAAAAAAAAATTCTGGCTCAGGTTTGTTCCAGATGGATTTTTTTTGTCCCTGGGAATATCCTCTCTCCTCCAACTATAGCATTTGTTTCTTCATGTGTAAACATTAGCACGAAGGCCTTGTTTGTGAGTTCGAATCAGGCATTAGTAGTTCATCTTTCCAGGCTGTGGAGCATTGCGGGGACAAGGGGCAGTATAATCACAGGGGGATATTATCTCAAAAAACCACAGTTAGTGACTGGCACGGGCAAGCCCTTCTTCCATTTGAACCTGGATTCCATAAGATCACATACAAAGGAAGGCCCTGGTATAGTATAGTAGAGTATAATAACACCATGTTGTGTGTATTACTCAAAATGTCTGTCTCTGAATGTTTCCCCTGGCATTCTTGTATCTCCCTTTTCTTTACGGTATGTATTAATGAGTCAGAAGTTACAAAACTGACAGACTAGGTGTCTTCCTTGGAAATGTGCTGAACAATCTTGTTTCCATAGTGCAGTTGGTGGTGGAGAGTCAAACTTAGGAGTACCACATGGTTCCCAGCACACATAATGAGGGGACGTACAACATCAGAAATAAACCTCACTTTCCAGTGTTTGGCCCCCTAGGGCTGAGCTTTATGGACTTGCGGTAGGCACACAGGTATGTCTAGAATATAGTTTTGCCTGGTGCCCTTTTGGATTGGGTGACAAAATGTTTCTCCTACCTCGGTTTGACAGGCTTGTTCATCTGGTAGTGTGAAAACTAGAAAAAAACATTCCTTCAGAAATACCTGGCTCTGTACTTTTCCCATTAGTACCATAGAAAACAAGAAAGCTGAAATGCTTTCCTTGTCTCTGATTGCCTACCCCCCTCTGCCCCCTTTTTCCTGTAGAAAACTATTTATTTTTTTAAACAGGCAAGTTACAATTAGGCACCTAAAAAACAGATATTCGTTTCCTATCAGGGAACATAGAAGGCAAAGATGCTTTCTGCTTGTTTTCAAGAGAAATACTACTGCAGAAACTAGGGCTGTAAACACCAGCATTGAAATGAAGCGAGTCCTTTGGAATGCTTTCTACTTGAGGACCACTAGGAGGCAGCACAACATTACAGAAAGTGCAGAGACCTCACCTGCTTCTTGCTTTGGAGCCATTGGGAAAACCCAGACAGGGTGGGACAGGAGAGGGGCCTAACTCAGCTAGTACTGGATGGAGATGGAGATGCAGCATACTTTCCTTTAAGCATAACCTCCTGATTTTTGACTTTTTTTCTTTGCATT